ATACCAGTAAGAATGGCAGTCATTGAGAATACAGATACTAATAAATGTTGGAGAGGATGTGCAGGAAAAGGAATACTTTCACACTATTGGTGGGACTGTAATTTAGTCCAACAACTATGGAAATAAGTATGGAGGCTCCTCAAAAAACTAGGTATTGAACCATCTTATGACCCACCTGTATCAGTCCTTGTTATTCATCCTGAAGATTTAAAGTCAGCATGCTACAGTGATACACGCATATCCATGTTTATAGCAACAGAGTTCACAGTAATCAAACTCTAGAACCAGACTAGGTGTCCATCACTGGATGAATGGATTATATATATATATACACACACACACACACAATGGAGCTTTATTCAGCAATAAAAGCAATGAAAATATGGCATTTGCAGGACAATGGATGGAACTGGAGACCAGCACATTAATCCAAATTAGTCAAACTCAGAAATTTAAAGGCCATATGTTTTCTCTCATATATGGAAACAGCAGAGAAAAAAGGAAAACCATAATGGGTGGATCAAATTGAGACAAGTGGAGAAAAGAGATCAAGAAGTATCAATGAGGGATTGGGAAATTGCTTGGAAGTGATATTGGCCAAATTATATTGTTATATCATGTGCATGCATGAATATGTAACAACAAATTCCATTAATATGTACAACTATAATGCACCAATTAAAAATTATTGAAGGAAAAATACCTACTTGCAAAGAATTCCAGATGTGACTGCTAAACATTATATTAAAAAAATATTTGCTAAGTATTAAAAATAATAATAGAAATACAGCAGGAAGAAATGCTTCTGAACTACATGAATTATGACAGTTTAGTATTTATTTATTTGTTTATTTATTTTTGTACTGGCAATTGAACCCAGGGGCACTGGACCACTGAGCCACATCCCCAGCCCTTTTTGTATTTAATTTAGAGGCAGGATCTCACTGAGTTGCTTAGTGCCTTGCTGTTGTAGAGGCTGGCTTTGAACTCACAATCCTTCTGACTCAGCCTCCAGAGCGGCTGGGATTGCAGGCATGTGCCACTGCACCCAGCTCTGAGACAATGCAGTATTTTTGTTAGGATGGAAAAAGACACAAAAGGAACAGGATAGTAAGTACAGAAATCATCCAATATGTGTAAATTAATTTTGACCTAGGCATCTATGTACTTTGATGGTATGAAAAGAACTTTTCAGAATGTTTCCAAAGAGCCTAGATATCCACATAGGAAAACCTCTACTTCAGGTGGTGCATATAACGTTAGTTTGAGACAGATTATAGACTTATATGTTTAAAATATGTTAGAGTTTCTGAAAGAAAACACAGAATATTTATCTTACCTTGGGGAAGGTGAGAATTTCTGGGAAAGGAGACGGAAATACTAACCACAAAAGAAAAACACTTGGACATTGGATTTAATTCAATTAGAAAAGAATTCTTCCCATTCTAATACTTCATTAATTTTTTCCAGTATGCACCAACTAGAATTTTAATATAGGCAAATATCCAGAATAGATAAAGAAGTCTTAAGGGTAAAGAGGGGGGCAGGGCAATTAAAAATGAGTAAAAGACTTTCACAGGCACTTCACAAAAGAAATTTCAAATGTTAATAAATATGTGAAAAGGGGTTTGACATTAGCAGTACCAGGAAAATGCAAGGTATAACCAGAATAACATTCTACTGAAGAGCTGGTGTATAACTCAGTGGTAGAGTATGTGCTTAGCATGTAAGTAGCCCTGTGCTCAATAATTATATAGCTATTTTTAAAAAGGACACTACTAGACATCAACCAGAATGCTTCCAAGAGTGTTTGTGAAAATATGGTGAACATTAAATTTCTCATGCATTGCTGATGAGAGCCTAAATCCATTTTGGAAACTGTTTTATGATTTATTAAGTTTGTTAGGACCTATCTTATTATTCAGCACTTTCACTCCAAGTTTCCTACCTAAGAGAATTGAATGCTCATACTTTCAAAAGATTGTTCAAGAATATTCATTGCACCTTTATTCATAAGCTCCCAAAATGGGAAGAAAAAATATACTCCAAAGGAAGAATGAAAAACTGATATATTGCTACAACAGACCACTACAAAGCATATAAAACAATAGATCACTGACATAAGAAAGAATATAGATGAATCTCAGAAATATGTAAAAAAAAAAAAGCCAAACAAGAAACAAATGCTGCATTCTATTCAAGAACAAACAAAAGTAATTTTTGTTGATAGAAATTATTTCTTTTGTGTGTTACTGAGAAGGGCACAAGGAAATTTATGGTGAAATAGTTGTTTTATAGTTTTATTAAAGTGATGAGATGGCAGTTTATATGTGTAAAAAAATATTGATCTACACAGTTAAGATTGGCACATTTTATAATATTCAAATTATATCTCAATAAATAAAATACCAGATTAAAGAGTCAAAAAAAGACAATTGTAAAAAGGCATTTGTTTTTTTTTATTTTTTAATTGACTTTTTAAAAATAAATGACAGCAGAATGCATTATAATTCTTATTATACAATTTTTCATATCTCTGGTTGTATATAAAGTATGTTCACACCAATTCGTGACTTCATACATGTACTTTGGATAATGATGTCCATCACATTCCATCATCATTGCTAAACCCCTGCCCGCTCCCTTCTCTTTTGACCCCTCTTCCCTATGCAGAGTTCCTCTATTCCTCCCATGCTCCCCCTCCATACCCCACTATGAATTAGCCTCCTTATATCAGAGAAAACATTCGGCATTTGGTTTTTTGGGATTGGCTAACTTCACTTAGCTTTATCTTCTCCAATGCCATCCATTTACTGTAAAAAGGTATTTCTGCTGTTTAAGCCTGTCTTTCTTTACATACATAATTCATGATTTTACAAGTTTTATGCCTCTGGGGCAGTTATGCCAAATCTACCTCTAAAGACGTTCACAGAGAACCATGTAGATTATTGAGAATGACAATATGTTTCCATATGCAGTAAAATATAATTAACAATATATTTTTAATGAAGTTTTCTATTTCTGACAATGAGCAATTAAATGTCCCCTGGGAATCAATTGTGATTTTAGGTCCTGCATCCTTTTTCATAATCTTCTAATGAGTGTTCCAGGGGTTTGTTCTTTTGGAATTCATGTGACCTAACTGATAATTTTAAATAATCCTCTTGTAATACGGCATAGGATCATTTAAATGCATTTTTCATTTATGACTGCAATGATTCTCACCAACTCAGAGGGTGAGCCACTCTAGTTGACAGGGAACTAGCCAAAAGGGTCCATAAACAAGGAAATTTGACCTTGGTTGTCTTCTCCTGAGTCTCTTTTGGTATGGATGCACAATGAACCAAGTTAGATGTTATTGATGGACTATGTCATCATGCCCCATACAAAATAAATATGTCCCAGAATGACTGAATATGCACCATAGAATGAATATAAATAAATATGTTCAAGAATTCTAAATAGCTGTACTCACAAATACTTGTACAGATTCTAGGCATTTATTACAGTCTTCATGCTCTAGGATTTATCAGCCAGATTGCCATAGGGAAAACTGTAACAATGTTCCACTGATGGTAGTTTCTGTCTTCCTTAAATTAATTAGCCTTAATAATTTTATATTGATTAAGACATAAGTGATCCATTGATTGTTTTATAGGTCAAGGATGGGTAGATCTCACTTAAGAGTATTCCCCCACCTCCCCCCCCCGCTTTTCCTTTCCTTTAGCCTAGGAAAAAGATCCTGGTTTGTTGGAAGATAAAAGCAGCTCGTCATTGAAGAAGCTGTGTTTCCAGTGAGCTACTTGATGGTGAGTATTGACCATGGGGATGATTTGCAATCTAATGTATCAAATATTTAAACCAGTGACTAGTTATTATTAAGCTACTATTGTGGACCATACTTAATTAAAGCAACAGGTTTGGACAAATCAAAGAATTTCAAACATGATTTAATTATAGTGACCTATTCATTAGAGCCTAATTTCCAACTGTTGTCTGGACTCATTTCACCATATTAGATATCACTTCATCTGCTCTCTAGCTAAGTAGTGGCTTAAAAATATTAATGTTCCTCTCATGATTGCTAGGAGCATTTAGGTGTGATTCCATATATACAAGAATCCTCCAATGTAACAATGATGTTCACAGAAAAAGAAATGTTTAAGGGCAAGTTAATAAATGCCTTGACTGATAGCAGAAGGAAATAATTCCATTCTATGAGGTTGGTAGGATGAGAGGAACACTGATTTGCCTCCTGTTATTCATTGAGCTTTAACGATAAGGATATACAACTATTTCCCCCCGTCTTTAGACATAGTTTTTAAAAATCTGTGTACAGGGAAATTATGAGATTCTATTCTTGTGAGTTTTCCTCACACACTCATGGGTCTCGGTTAAAGAACTCAGGCTAATCAGATTTCAGAAAAATAACTGGGTTGGAACATGGCAACAGAACCTAGATTTTTATCTGATTTTTGGAATGCTGCATTCAATGGATAGAACTTCATAGAATGCATATCCCAAATGAAATATAGAAACTAATATTGTAACACCCTGAAAGAATATTTTCTGTGGGGTATTAGCCTTTGATGTTATCTATTAGTCATATATTTTGTCAAACAAAAAATAATGATTTTCATGTTGCCTTTTGTTATCTTACAAAGTATTTCCAAAAATACTGTTTTCAGAAAAGTTACATTGTTTATCAAACTTATTCCCCAAAACAACAAAACTAAAATGAAAAATGCCCCCAAAATAAATTTTGAAGATCTACAATTTAACAATGGGATAAGTTCAATATAGTTTGTAATAAACTATTTAAAAAATAGAAAACAAGTGCTCATTCAGAATAGTAACCACAAGCAGTTTGTGTTTGTTTGTTTTTTGTTTTTGTTTTGTTTTAACATGGCTGTCAATTAAATTCTTTCTTGTTGGGTGGTAGTATTTTCTGTCTAACAGGTCAAAGAAGGTTGATGACAGACAGAAAACTGGAGATAACCATGGGGTTTAGAAATGAGACAACCATGTCAGAGTTCACCTTGTTGGGGTTTCCTGCAGTCCAGCATCTGGGAAAGGTCCTCTTCCTGGTGCACCTGCTGGCATACCTAGCCTCAATCACAGGAAACATGTTTGTAATCACCATCACCTGGACTGACCATCGCCTTCAAACACCTATGTACTTCTTCCTCAGCAGTTTCTCTTTCTGTGAATTCTGTTTCATCACCACAGTTATTCCTAAATTGCTGTCCATCTTTCTTTTAGGACAGCAAACAATTAATTTTACATCTTGTCTCACACAAGCCTTTTCTTTTTTATTTCTTGGGTCAACAATTTTCTTCCTCATGACTGTGATGTCCTTGGATCGATACCTGGCCATTTGCAAGCCTCTACACTACCCAGCTATCATGACCCTGAAGGTTTGTTTCCTTCTGGTGTTTTTCTGCTATATCTTGTCCTTCATTTTTATCACTGGTGTGATCCTGAAGGTTTCCCAGTTATCCTTTTGTGGCTCCAACATCATACCTCATTTCTTCTGTGACTTAGGCTCCTTAATCCATCTCTCCTGTTCTGAGACCAGATCTATTGAAATGCTGGCCTTTGGTATAGCTTTGTTTATCCTTTTTACATCCCTCATTATAACCATCATTGCATATAGCAACATAGTAGTCACAATCATGAGTCTTCCATCAGCCAAGGAGCGACAAAGAGCTTTCTCCACCTGCTCTTCTCACCTCTTGGTCCTTTCACTGATGTATGGCAGTTGTGTCTTCATATATGTAAAACCAAAGCAAGCGAGCAGGCTGGACTCCAACAGGGAGGCTGCTCTTGTGAACACAGTGGTGACCCCACTACTGAACCCTGTGATTTACACCCTGCGCAACAAGCAGGTCCACCAGGCTCTGAGGGATGCTCTGTCCAGGGTGAAATTGCAGAAATAGGATCAGAGAGCTTTGTGGGGAAGCTAAATCTTGTTCACCTACTTCAACTTCCCACTATGGTGTAAGTCTCCTCTACTAGAATTCCTACATGTAGTGATCTAGCTTATGTGAACTTTCACCTAGATGGATGCTGCCTGATCTTGCAACTTCTTTGATTGTATAACATTAGTTCCCTATATTGTGCTGAACAGTATGTTTCTTACTGTTCTTCCCATTGGTCTTAAGTAAGTTCAAGTCAGACAACATTTACGGTGAGGCTAACATGTACAAATCAAATCACTGATCTTCCACATCTGTGTGTTCTCTCTCTATACATTCAACTCATTGTAGACGGGAAATATTTGGAAAAAATTGCTTGTGTGTATTGAATATGTACATCCTTTTGTCATTTTTTCCCTTAATACAGTATAACACTACGTGCATGTTATTTATATTGTAGTATATAATACACGGTATAAATAAATAGTATAAATTTTCTAGAAATGATTTAAAGTATATGGAATATGTGAGCAGGTTATAAACAAATACTATGCTATTTTACTAAGGGACTTGAGCATCCATGGATTTTGATATTGACAGAGTTGCTGAAAACAATTCTCCATAGATACTGAGGGATATTGTAATACAAGCACCTTAAGCTAAGAATAAAAGTGTTATCAGATTTAACAATTGATGTTCATGACTCAACCTTGAATTTTCTGATGCCTATAAAAAAATAGACACCCTTCTTTACCACTTTATTTATTCAAAGCAAGTTTTGAATTTAGAAGAAAATTGCTTATGAAAATCATAATATAATAGCCTTATGAAAATTATGGCAATTCAATGTTTCTGTTTACATAAATTAATCAGTGTAAGCTTATTAATTTATTTGGGTCTGTTGGTTTTAGAGATATAAATAGCTCAGTATATTTCAGTTGGTTGTGACTGGCACTTTTACTTTATCATCTTTCACCTTTAGCAAATGTTATTAATGAAATTTCTTTAACACGTTTTAATAACGAACAAAATGAAAAGTCTTTTAATTTGTGCTTTTGCTGGTAATTGATGTTTCAGTTGGTTGGAAGATAGGTGGTCTCAGTAACTCTCTTTTCTTCTTAGAGATATTTTCTCCTAACAAGATTTTAGAGGTGTCTTCCAGTATCTTTCAGGCTAAGCTAAATCCTGGTTGATATTTTATAGCCAATATTAAAAGAACTCATAATTAAAAATGTGTACAAGAAAATGTGTGCACTGATAATGTTGAGTTAAATTGAGTCAAGTACTGTTTGCACTTTCATTGAAGAAGTGGTTCTTTTCACTTCTGATTCCCCATGTTCATGTTATGTATTTGATTTTCTGTGTGTCTGATTTTGGTGTATATTTTCTTTTCCAGCTTGATTTCACAATTAATTATATTAAAGCATAACCTGACAAGAATTTTAGATTTTAAAGATTGTTGGCTGGGCTGAGAAGGCATTCCAATTATAGAGTGCTTTCTTAGTGTACATGAGGTGCTGGGTTCAATCCCCAGAACTACAAAAACAATCCATCTGTTGACTGATTTAAATGTTTACTTCAGAACTCTGAGCAGCAATCTAGTAGACTAACAATCCAACTAGAGAAAGTTACCATAAGAACCCATGCGGAGGGTCACTCATTTAAACCTTGCAGTGTGCACTTGTTATTAAACTATTGAAGACAGATTTAAAGATAGGTAGTTAGTGTAGTTAGGCAAATGGAGTCTAATAAAGAAAATGGAGTCCTGTCTGAGTCCAGGGAAACTAGAACAACACCTGGGAAATTGAAATGTTAATGTCCCTAAGGCCCTAGGCCATCCTAAAGAATTGTTAATGAAGCAGCTCCCAGTAAAACTGCAAGATGCTAATCAAACCACCCCAGACCCTTCCTACCCAGATGGCTCCTCCTGGCCCCATTGTTTCCAGCCTTTTGGCCTTCCCACCTGCATCCCCCATCACATTGCAAGATAGAGGGAAATAAAGGACAGGAACATGGAAGAACAAAAGAAGATCTTAGATATAAAAGAGAGAAGACTTCCCCTTTCCACAATTCCCCTTTCAGGTCCCCTTCTTCCTGGTGGTGGGGGGTGTCTTTTCTGCTATCCTTTAATAAAACCTTCCACTTTCCACTCTACTGCCTTGGCATGCTTCTCCGGTGTTATACTTCAGCATTCCAGGAAGCAAGGACTCCTCACAGTAAATGCCAGTAACACTATCTTCATAAAGTAGGGCCACCTTTACCTGGGTATCACTCTGGGTCACAAAGATCATACATACTAGATCACACTCTTCTTTGTGAAATGTTGTGAAAGGCTAGACAGAATTCTGAGTGTAACCCATAGAGAGTATCCCAGTGAATAACTTGTTTCTCAAAGGGTGAGTTTTCCCTAATTTGCCCTAAACAAAATTAAATGTTTAATTTTAGGATAACCGTAAATACACATACAGTTTTAAGAAATAATATAGAGATCTCATGTCACCTTTACCTAATTTCCTTCAATGGGAATAACTTACAACATATAATAAAATGTCCTAGCCAGGATATTGACACTGATAATGTCAAGATTAGAACATTTCCAACATGACAAAGATGCCTCCTGTTGATCTTTTATAGCCTTTTATGGTTATGCCACTTATCTCCTGCTGCAACTACTGTTTACCATTTCTGTAACTTTTCCATTTTAAGAAATAGATATGTATATTTATATATTAAATAAAATGTATATATTAATGTGTATGTGTGCACATATATGTATGTATACACATATGAGAAGTAGTCTTTGGGGCTGGATTTTTCCACTTAGCATAATAATCTAGAGATTCATGCAAATTATTATGTTATCAATAGTTCATTCCTTTTTATTGCTGATGATTATCTTGCAGTATGTATGTACCACATTTTTTAAAAAGTTTGCCTGTAGAAGAACGGATGGGCTACTTTCAGTTTTTAGTTCTTCCAAGTAAAGTTCTGTAAAGGTTTGTGTACAACTTTTTGTACAAACATAAAATTTCATTGCTCTGGGATAAATGCCTAGGAATGTAATTATTGGGTCATACGACAGTTGTATGTTTAACTAACTAGCTGTTTTCTAACAAATTGTTAACTAACAAGTTGTTTTCCAGAGCAACTGTGTCATTTTTCTCACCAGTGAATACATGAGAAATTCATTTTTTTTGTATTCCTGTAAACATTTGACATTACTATTTTTTGTTCACTATGATTTAATATAGACTAACAGAGCAAGCAATAAAAGAAAAAAAGACACATTAAATGTTATTAAAATTTTTTTAATTGTGTTTCAAAGGACACAAGACAGTGAACATACATCTTATAAAATGTGAGTAAATATTTGCAAATCATGAATCTAAAAAGAAATTTTTGCCTATCATATACACCATTATACTTTATATGTTCTTTAGATAAAAGTTTCTTGCCAGATTTATGATAAAAGTTCTTTAAACATTTACAAATAAAAACAAAAAGACAAATAACCAAATTTAAATGATTGAGATTTTTTTTTTTTGGGGGGGGGCTATTGTAAATGGGGTAGTTTTCCTCATTTCCCTTTCAGAAAATTTAAATTTAAATCAATCTAACAAAAGAGGTGAAAGACCTCTACAAGGAAAACTACAGAATGCTAAAGAAACAAATTAAAGAATACCTTAGAAGATGGAAAGATCTCTCTTGTTCTTGGATAGGCAGAATTAATATTGTCAAAATGACTATACTAACAAAAGCACTATACAGATTTGATACAATTCCAATTAAAATCCCAATGGCATTCCTCATAGCAATAAAAAAAAAAACAAAAAAAAAAAACAGTCATGAAATTCATCTGGAAAAATAAGAGACCCAGAATAGCTAAAGCAATCCTTAGCAGGAAGAGTGAAGAAGTGACATCACTATACCAGACCTTAAACTATACTACAGAGCAATAGTAACAAAAACAGCATGGTACTGGCACCAAAAGAGACTGGTAGACCAATGGTACAGAATAGAGGACCCAGAGACTAACCCACATAATTACAGTTATCTTAAATTACACAAAGGTGCCAAAAACATACATTAAAGAAAAGATAGCCTCTTCAATAAATGGTGCTGGGAAAACTGGAAATTCATATGCAACAAAATGAAATTAAACCCCTATCTCTCACCATGCACAAAACTCAACTCAAAGTGGTTCAAGGACCTAGAAATGAGGCCAGAGACACTGCACCCATTAAAAGAAAAAGTAGGCCCCAATCTCCATCATGTCAGATTAGGCCCCAGTTTCCTTAATAAGACTCCTATAGCACAAAAAAATAAAAAAATAACAAGAATCAATAAATGAGATGGATTAAAATCAATAAATGAGATGGATTAAAACCAAAAAGCTTCTCCTCAGCAAAAGAAACAATCAATGATATGAATAGAGAGCCTACAGAGTGGGAGCAAATTTTTACCACTCTCGCATCAGATAGAGCACTAATCTCTAGGGTATATAAAGAACTCAAAAAGCTAAAGAGTCCCCCACCCAAAAATAACCAAATCAATAAATGGTCCAAGGAATTGAACAGACACCACTCAGAAGATTGTATACAATCAATTAACAAATATATAAAAAATAGTTCAACACCTCTAACAATCAGAGAAATGCAAATGAAAACTTCTCTAAGATTTCATCTCACTCTAGTCTGAATGGCAGCTACTAAGAACACAAACAACAATAAGTGTTGGCAAGGATGTGGGGGGAAAGGCACATTCATCATTGCTGGTAGGACTGCAAATTGGTGCAGCCAATCTGAAAAGCAGTATGGAGATTCCTTGGAAAACTGGGAATGGAACCACCATTTGACCCAGCTATCCCACTCCTTGGTCTATACCCAAAGAACTTAAAAGAAACATACTACAGGGACAGAGCCAAAGCAATGTTTATAGCAGCGCAATTCACAATAGCTTGCTAAGAGCCAAGTATATGATGCATGGCATTTTTGGTCGAAAGGTGACGCCAGCTAGCCATTGAGATGATATGATTATGTTAAGATTTGCATTCATATGGATATTGGACTCCTGCTGTTCACCTAGGCAGGCTACGGGACTCCTGGAGAGTTCCCATTGGTTGGGGAAGTACAGTAGGAGGGAGTTCCGGGGGAGGAGCTCTCTCTGCGGGTCCGGGAGGAGGCCTCATGGGTGGAAAAAATCTGCCCGGGCGGTACCGGACATTGGTGGCAGTTTCAAAAAATAAACTTTGTTCCTGCTTGAGTGGCTCGTGATTTTGTGCCCAGCCAGACTGTGGCAACTGGCGGCCCGCACGGGGAACGCCTGAAGCTTGGAGGTGAGTAAAATTGCTCGCCCCTGAGGGAAGGCAACAAAATGGGTGACCATTTCAAAAAACAATGTGTTCTCGTTTTTGATTTATCTTGTTTTTGTTTCAAGCTGCCTATCCCTAGAATTTTCTCAGGCAAACTGGGAAAAATGGTTGGCTCAAGGTTTGAAGTTGTTCGGCCCTGAGAAAGAGAAAATTGATACAACTATTCTTTGTTCGGTTTTTGTTTCATTCTGTTTCGGTTTTGTTTTATGCTATCTTATTGGGTTGCGGTACCTTTATAGTAGATTAGAAACTAGTAAAAAACAAACCGAAAGACTGTTAAGTAAATTGTTAGAGGTCCAGACTATGGTAGAAAACATGTTAGGTCAAGCGAAAGAGAAGGTCTCTCAAGCTAGTCAGACAGAGGAAGATTTGAAGAAAGAAAGCTTAGAGGAAAAACAACCATCAGGCGGGGAATTACAACAGGAGGCTGCTACTAACCCCGTTCTATCACCAGAGGGCGTAATTCAACCAACAGCTCCATCTACAGCTGAGCGGCCCTCAACTCCCGTAGTTGATGGACGGAATCCTGAGGCAGGACCCCAAAGATTAGCATGCCCTGTACTTGAGCAGGCAGGAGGGCAACGAATTCACCGTGCTTTAGATTTCAAAACAGTGAAGCAATTAAAGGAGGCTGTAACAACCTACGGGCCGCAAGCACCCTTCACTGTGAGCATGGTCGAATCCATTACCAACTTAGACATGACGCCAGCAGATTGGGCTAACATGTGTCGATCTGTGCTAAATGGAGGACAATATTTGTTATGGAAGGTTGCCAATGAGGAATTTTGCATGGAGACAGCTAGGCGAAATGCAGCAGCCGGTTACTCTCAAAGAAATCTAGATATGTTATTAGGAAAAGGACCTTATGAGGGTCAACGGCAACAAATTGATATGATCCTGGCGTATATGCACAAATTGCTGTAGATGCAATTAAGGCATGGAAAACTTTACAGGGGCATGGAGATTTACAAGGACAATTATCTAAGGTAATACAAGGAGCTAATGAACCTTACGCTGAATTTGTAGATAGGCTTATTCAGACAGCATCTAGAACAGGCAATGCCATTTATAAAACAACTGGCTTATGACCAAACAAATCGTTGCTGCAGAGAGGTCATCAGACCATGGAAACATGAAGATTTAAACATATATATTAAATTATGTAGAGACATTAATGAACAAGGGCAAGTCTTAGCAGCAGTACAACAGGCTTTAGATGCCAGGCCAAAAACATGCTATAATTGTGATCAAACAGGACATTTTAAAAGGAGTTGCCCCATAGGAGGAGGGTTTAACAAGGCTAGGTATCAAAGGAATAGAATACCGGGTATTTGCCCACGATGCCGTAGAGGGAAACATTGGGCTAATGAATGCCATTCTCAAACCACCATAGAGGGTATTCCGTTATCAAAAAACAGACAAGGACCAAGTGTTTACCCACAATATCGTGGAGAAAGACATCAGGCTCCATTGCCAAAAAACGGACTGGAGGGCCCAATGCTCCGGGGCCCAAAACCACAAATATACGGGGCAGTGGAGGAACCCAGCAACACCATCAAGGTAGTGCCCAGGGCGCATTATCCATTAAATCCCTCATCAGACAAACTAGAGGGAGCGCAGGGTTGGACATCTGCGCCTCTGCCAGAGCAGTACTAACTCCAGAGATGGGAGTTCAAATCATTCCCACAGGAGTAAAAGGACCTCCTCCCCAAGGAACAGTAGGCTTATTATTGGGACGTAGTTCATCTACATTAAAAGGACTTATGATAAGTCCTGGGGTAATTGATCCCGATTATGAAGGTGAAATAAAAATTATAGCTAATTCTCCAAGAGGTATATCAGTAATTTCACCAGGAGATAGAATAGCACAGTTATTAATAATACCCAGCCTACATGATAAATTTTCCAGTCGTACTGTAGAAAGAGGTTCCAGGGGATTAGGCTCCACAGGTGTAGATTGGGCTATGCTGTCTTTAAATCTAGATTCTCGCCCAATGCTAAAACTAAATATTCAAGGACATGACTTTAATGGGCTACTTGATACAGGTGCAGACCTTAGCATCATATCTCATCAAGAATGGCCGAAACATTGGCCATTACAACAAGCCACTCAAACGCTTCGAGGCCTAGGAGTGGCAACTAATCCCCATAGAAGTGCAATGGTATTAGATTGGAAGGATCCTGAAGGATGTGAAGGAACTATACAGCCCTATGTATTGGATCATCTTCCTATAAATTTATGGGGACGAGATGTCCTAGATCAATTAGGTTTGATATTAACAAATAACATCAATCCTAATGCGCCCACTACTAGGGCTAGACAAGGCTTTAGGAAAGAAGAAAGATTAAGAGAACAAGAACAAGGTATGACAGCACCAATTCAAATAGATCAAGAAACAAATAGACATGGATTGGGTTTTCAGAAAGGGCCACTGAGACAATCAAGATTACTTGGAAATCAGAAAGACCAGTGTGGGTTCCTCAGTGGCCCCTGACTAAAGAAAAGATACAAATAGCCCATGACCTGGTCAAACAACAATTAGCGGAGGGACATATACAACCTTCCGTATCTCTCCATAATACTCCCATTTTTGTCATTAAAAAGAAATCTGGTAAATGGAGATTATTGCAAGATTTAAGAGCCATTAATAATGAGATGGTTACTATGGGACCTGCTCAATCAGGGATTCCCCAATTGTCTGCTTTACCAAAAACCTGGTATGTTTTAGCTATAGATATTAAAGATTGTTTTTTTTTCAATTCCAATTCATCCCGAGGATAGTCCACATTTTGCATTCACTATCCCTGCACTAAATCATGAAGGTCCTGATCAGAGATATGAATGGAAAGTACTCCCTCAAGGGATGGCTAATAGTCCAACTATGTGTCAAATTTATGTTAACAAAGCAATCCAGCCACTTAGAAATCAAAATCCTGAACTACAAATATTTCACTATATGGATGATGTGTTATTGGCACATAAAGATAAAAACACATTGCTAGAATGTTATGCCACACTTACAAATTTATTAAAAAATTATAATCCAGAGATAGCAATAGATAAAGTACAATTAAATCTTCCAATTAATTATTTAGGGGTTTTATTATCCTCAACCATGGTCCGTCCACCAAAAATTCAAATACGAGTAGATCAACGACTTTCAAAAGTTATTAGGAGACATAAATTGGATAAGGCCTTATCTAGGCATACCAACAGGAGAGTTGGGACCTTTATTTGATATTCTAAAAGGTCCATCAGATCCAAATTCACCCCGCATGTTGACGCCTGAAGCAAGAAAGGCATTAAAAATCATTGAAACATATATGGAAAATATGCATTTGGATAGAATTGATATAAGTTTGCCTTTATTATTTATTGTACTACCAACAAAAAATATTCCTACAGGAGTATTCTGGCAAGAAGGTCCATTATTGTGGATACATTTATCTTATTCTCCTAACACTATTCTTACTAGGTATCCTGAGGCTATAGGACAATTAATACTCAAAGGAATAAAAGCAGCAAAGGGAGTGTTTGGGATTTCTCCCAATAAAATTATTACTCCATATACTATAGATCAAATTGATGAGTTAGCTAATGAGTTAAATACTTGGGCAATAATCATGTGTAAATCTAATGTTTCATTTGATAATCACTTACCGTCTAATCCTTTGTTGTCTTTTTGGTCTAAACATCCTGTAGTTTTTCCAAAGATGACAAAAAAAACCCCTATCATGAATGCTCCAAATATATTCACTGATGGGTCAAATAATGGTACAGCAGCAGTAGTTACCCCTGATCAAACTTTTACATTTTTAGTACCCAAACAATCAGCTCAAAAGGTAGAGCTTAATGCAGTATTACGAGCTTTTATGATGTTTAAAAATTCTGTATTTAATTTATTTTCTGATAGTCAGTATGTAGTTAATGCTATAGTATCCCTTGAAGATGCTGGTAGGATTTCCCCTTCTTCTACTGTTTTCTCTTTGTTTTCCACTATACAAAGTCTAATCTGGGACAGAAAAGATCCATTCTTTATAGGACATATCAGGGCACATACAGGATTGCCTGGAGCCCTTAGTTTGGGCAATGAGTTAGCAGATAAATCTACACATGACATACATATTTTCTCCACAATAGAAGAAGCTATAAATTTTCATAAAAGGTTCCATGTCAATGCTAATACTTTACAAAAGCGTTTTAAAATAACTAAAGACAAGCCCGACATATAATAAAACAATGTCAAAATTGTGTGACATTTTTACCACAAGTTAATCTTGGGGTCAATCCTAGAGGACTGATACCTAACCATATTTGGCAGATGGACGTCACACACTTGCCAGAATTTGGAAAATTAAAATATTTACATGTTACAGTTGATACTTCTTCTGGATTTCTGATGGGCTCCCTTCATGCTGGAGAAAAAACTAAAGATGTTATAGCTCACTGCTTACAAAATTTTGCCACTGTGGGCGTTCCAAAACAGTTAAAAACCCATAATGGTCCTGGCTATACCTCTACCTCTTTTAAACAATTTTGCTCATCATTTGGCATTACTCACATAACAGGAATTCCATACAATCCACAAGGACAAGGCATAGTTGAAAGAGCTCATCAAACTATTAAAATGTACTTATTAAAACAAAAGGAGGGAATTGGAAAGGGGTATATATCCCCCAAAGATAAACTTAAAATAACCCTTTTTACTCTAAACTTTTTAAATTTGGATTCATCAGGGCTTAGTGCTGCGGAAAGACATTTGTATCCAAAAAATGTACATAAGCCTAAGGTACTTTGGAAAGATATTCTAACAGGACAATGGAAAGGTCCTGACCCAGTGATAGTCTGGAGTCGGGGCTCTGTTTGTGTGTTTCCACAGGGAGAACAGCAGCCGATTTGGATTCCAGAGAGACTAACTAAAACAATTTCTACAGGCCAAAAGGAAAATGATTCGACTCAAATCCATAACAGCTGATATCCAGATCTCCAGCTTGGCTATTCTTACATCTGCGACAGTGCTTAACCAGGATGCTTTTTTCAATATCTATTTTATTATTGCTTTTTCCCACATCATAAAGTTCTATTTTATTTTTGAGCTCATACAGACCTAGGTTAATGTTTTTTCTGATCAGTTTTATTTTTTGACTGTGGAGTTTTTGAACATTGCAATGGAGATTTCACCTAGGTAAAGCTACAAGGCCTTTACTATTGTCTTATGTGTTATATGTTACGTGTGCACACTTCTGTTTTGTGTTGTATGTCTGTATGTGCGTATGTCCATATATCACATATGAGGAGCGCTCATGCACATGGATCCAAAATTTTTTTTTTTTATTATTCACGTGATTTTAATAGTTTAATTTAATTTGGGTAAACAGCTGTTGAGGATTGTTTTAATATATGAACAAATAGAAGGTTAACAGATCTGTTTGTTTACTTTCACCTTTCCTTTTCATTATATTTAATAATTCTGTTCAGGATAATGTAAATTGTTCTAAATATTGTTTTCTTAGTACCTGTTGAAATGTTACATATTTTTTTTTAGCATCATTGTCAAAATTCCTATTTTCATCCCAGTGCCGGTGAAGACAAAGATAAAACCAAACTACAACTTCTTCGAGAGTTATCACAACAAACCGTGTAAACTGATACATCAATGATTTATAACTCAACAAGTAATGCTCAATCAATGAGTCGATTTATTTTGGAAGGATATGGACATATTGATAGATTCCTCTGCTTTGAACTGCTTACAGAACTTGCCTGGACTATGTATCACTTGTATGCTTTGTGATCTATTTGTTGATGCAGCGAATTATGGTAGTGCTAGCGTATCTTTGCTGATGTGTCACCAGTGATGCAATTTTTCCTAGGAGCCGTTAATTGACTTGGTGTCATGACATTTCTGTATCCTCCTCCCTTCTACTAGTGATGGTCTAATTTTGGGGGCCAACAGAGGTGAGGTAAAGAACCTCACCCCCCCACCGGCACCAAGGCCAAATTTGGGGGCCAACAGAGGTGAGGCAAAGAACCTCACCCCCCCACTGGTACATAGGCCTATCCACAAGTATGGCTATATGCTGGACAGGTAGTCAGTGACGGGTATGATCCAATTGCAGTGGTATCAACCTAAGACAGGAGGCTGACGCCTAAAAGTCAGTTTTCCGATGACGGGTAAGAACCATATGTTGAATTGGACAAACCTAACAGGCACGGTCCCTAGGCAGATTGCTTGTTACTTAAACAGAAGGGGGGAGATGCTAAGAGCCAAGCATATGATGCATGGCATTTTTGGTCAAAAGGTGATGCCAGCTAGCCATTGAGATGATATGATTATGTTAAGATTTGCATTCATATGGATATTGGACTCCTGCTGTTCACCTAGGCCGGCTAGGGACTCCTGGAGAGTTCCCATTGGTTGGGGAAGTACAGTAGGGGGGAGTTCCGGGGGAGGAGCTCTCTCTGCGGTCCGGGAGGAGGCCGCGTGGGTGGAAAAAATCTGCCCGGGCCGTACCGGACATTGGCGGCAGTTTCAAAAAATAAAGTTTGTTCCTGCTTGAGTGGCTCGTGATTTTGTGCCCAGCCAGACTGCGGCAATAGCTAAACTGTGGAAGCAACCTAGATGTCCTTCAAATAGATGA